ATGGAGGTGGGGGAAAAGGTGGAGGTGGTGGTGGGTGCAAAAGCTGTGGAAAACGTTAGTTTACTATGAACTTCAAATGTAATCGAATAAAAGTTGTCTATGAGAAAACTACCGATGTAATTTTTTAAATTCTTTTGTAGCCGTCCGTTGTTTTGTATTGTTTGGGTAATAAATCGTTATCAAAGTTAACGATGTGGTATAGGACGCGGTTGGTGCCATTTCATCTTACAACCGAGTGTTATTTCATTGCTTTCCTACACAAATTCAAACCTCCTACTGAATTTGGCGCTCAGAGCCAACCAGACGGCAAGACCGCGCTCTCGATGACAAATGCTCCACCGCCCATCAACCCCAAACACTGGAAGGAAAAACGCACTTGAGACAGGCCAGGGAACAGATTTGCGGATTTTGCTTCTCGCAGACGGCTGCGGCGTTGGCTCCCCCGTTTCCCAAACCCCTCCGTCCCATCAGTGGGGTGGGGAGGAGGAGGTGGGGCCCGGGCCCGGGGCCGCCGCCCGGCCCAGCCCGGACCAGGCCGACGCAGCCGCTATGGACGTTGATGGATCAGAACTCATCCGCTACTGAGGCTGAGCGGCGCTGAGCGTGGCTGAGCGCTGGTGAGCACTGCTGAGCGTTGCCGAGCGCGGCACCGCCGAGAGGGATCGAAGCCCCTTAAGTGGGCACGGCGCAAGTCCCACATAGAAATGCTAATGCCGCCGCCGACGACGACTCGGTTGGCTCAAGAGCAGCGAGCAGCGTCACATCTTGTCGGCGCTCGACCAACAAACTAGCTCGCAGTTTTCTTTCGAGCTAAACAAGAAGAAATTAAAACAGAATTTAACGTCGATTTAGTTTACACGGTTGTACACTAGTTAATGAGCATCTCAATGAACTACTTATTGTTTACGTACACAGGTGCTCAAGGCCGTACTTTTTTCCTGGATGTACTACACCGCATGCAGGCTTGCGGGGTGCAGGACTTTAAACACCACGCCCCTCACCAAGGCGCCTTATGCCCCGTGCGAGTATGCAACCTGTCCGCACGCCTTGGATCCGGTACAGTACAACAAGAAGGAAAGACAGGGACGGCTTATCACACTCCGCCCGACGTAAGCTGTACCGCACGACACATGCATGCGCTTCCTCCAGAGCAAACAAGGCAAGGCACCGCGCAGCACGCGCTGGCACCGTGCGCGACACGACACGGTGTCTCCGCGCTGCGGAGAGCATCGTCAGGACGTTAGAGATGCTGCTGCTGCGGCATCAGCAGAGATGGATGCCGAGTGTTAGTCAGCGACCGTGTCGGGGCTCCAGCACGGCAAGAGACGGCTGTCTATCTCACTGCTGCCCGTTGTGTTTCTTGCTGCAACTACCCTTCTCTTCGTGCGGGCC